TTTTTTTTCGTCACTGCAAGTCTTTCAACATAAGGAATACAAGTTTTGACCAAGTCTTGATTCGATTCATGAACACAAATTCTGTATTGGTTTTGTCACCGGTCGTGGTCGCTAAACTCGATTACGAAACCCTGTTTCCGAGATTAGGCCCTAATTGGCGGGTAATAGAGCCCTTTTCCGGCGAAATATTGATTTCCCATACTGAGACAAATTTCCAATGAAGGCAATTTCTTCCATAAGGTTCTGTGGACCGAAATTGACCCGCGACTGAATGAACTCATTGTTGAGTAAAAGAACTCTTCTATTTCAAATTATCGTTCAGCCGGTCAACCGAGTCGACGAATGGATCTGGTTGTTCTTGGATTGGCGAGAGGTTTCCAAGTGTGGACGTTCAACGTGAGTTGTTCTACCAACTCTAACGTCATAAATAGATCAGGAAAATACTTGTGAAGATGTCAGTGAGGTTTTGGAGGGGCAGGATGCTTTTTCGCTGGAATATTCTGTCAGTACCTGCGTTTATCTAGGTATATTAGTGCTGATCGCCTGGGCGCTTAAAAGTTTTCAGTTACCAAACACAGAAATCGCTGTTTTTATTGTTGTCTTGTTCTGCGGAAAAGCTGTTTTTGCTGTTGCTTATTTAGAATGCCGTCAAGTTTGTATTGTTTATTCAGATGTTTCCGCCATTTTTCCCTTCCTGTTTCCGAATGTTCACTAAGCGTACGGTGCTGTGGCAGTTGAGATTACGCTGACGAAATTGTCAGAATTAAATCTTAGAGCCACGGTCGTTTGCTTTAGTGATATTTCGAAAGCCGAATTGGTTCGGGCTGACTATGGGCGTAGGATTTGAATGTTTTTGAACGCGAGCATGGTATTCACGAATGAGTGTTCCATTTTTGACGTTGGCGCCATTTCGTAATTTGGTTCAGTAGACTTAAACGGAAGGAATGGGAGGACTATGTGAGGTCAAACTGGTAAACTGACGCGCTATTCCCAAAATGTAATGTTGAAATCGTGATCGTGCAACAGTCTTTCAACATAAGGAATACAAGTTTTGACCAAGTCTTGATTCGATTCATGAACACAAATTCTGTATTGGTTTTGTCACCGGTCGTGGTCGCTAAACTCGATTACGAAACCCTGTTTCCGAGATTAGGCCCTAATTGGCGGGTAATAGAGCCCTTTTCCGGCGAAATATTGATTTCCCATACTGAGACAAATTTCCAATGAAGGCAATTTCTTCCATAAGGTTCTGTGGACCGAAATTGACCCGCGACTGAATGAACTCATTGTCGAATAAAAGAAACTCTTCTATTTCAAATTATTCGTTCAGCCGGTCAACCGAGTCGACGAATGGATCTGGTTGTTCTTGGATTGGCGAGAGGTTTCCAAGTGTGGACGTTCAATGTGGGTTGTTTTACCAAGTTTTAACAACGTAAATAGTTAGCGAAAATTTTTTGAAGATATCAGTGAGGGTTAGAGGAGTAGGATGGCTATTTTGCTGGATTCTCCTTTCAGTACAGTGCACATAAGTAAATTAATGCTGATTGCCTAAGCGCCTGTAAATTTTCGGTTAACAATTACATAAATCGCAAAGGCTACGAACCTTTTTTTTATTGTTTATTTCATTTTTATTTCATTAGTTTTATTACTGCAGAAAGCTGTTTTTGCTGCTACTTATTTATAATGCTGTTAGATTTGTTCTGTTTGTTCAGATGTTTCCGCTCTTTTTCCTTTCCGATTTCCGATTGTCTGATTAAACGCGTAGAGCGTGGCGGTGGGCACTGAGATTACGGACCGAGAATTGTTAGAAGCTTAATCTTAAAACTACCATACCCTGTTTTTAGCGTCTGGGAGTGTAAATTAGTTTCGCTCACATAATGATCAGGATTTGGAATGTTCTTGAACACAAATACGGTATTCACGAATAAGTGTTCCTTTTTTGACGTTGGCGCCATTTTGGCGGTAATTTAGTTCAGTAGACTTTAGCGGAAGCAATGGGAGGAAGATGTGAGGCTAAACTGACGTAAACTGATGCTAATCACAGAATGTAATGTTGAAATCGTGATCGTACAATGGCCTCGAAGCTTTTCGAAATGAAACCCATGAAGCTCTCCGAAAGGGCTATTCGTTTCTTGATGTATTTTTTTTCTCACCCACTAGACAGTGTGAGGTGATATGAAAGCATTGAGTACTGGCTCAGACTCTCTATTCGGCTTTCGCTTCTAAATCTAGCGTATAAAGACAGTGGCGTCAGGAACTGTGTAGACTACGTTGAAATCATGGAGTTTATCGATCTTAAGGCTTATTTGAATATGCAGTGCGAAGCTCTACGTGTTCTACATAGACGCGTTTACAGGAAAATGGAGATTGCGAGGAGGTGATGTCAGAACGACAAGGTCCGATTCGAGCTTTTGTGCCGTTATCAGGAAAATTTCGAGCTGCGCAATGATGAGCTTGACATGTGCGTAAGAATTCATTCGTTTCTGGAAAAAACAGGAAAATTCTTTTTCACCAAGTTCCTTCTCAATTCGATCTCATTTTACTGGCAAAATGGTAATCATCGCAATTCACTTCAGGTTTGCTGATCAAAGACCTTTTGTGGCGATGGTAGACACGTACACAACTGTACCAGATCGACAGTATTGCTCCGTGTCAGTGGTTTCACTCAGCACTGGCAAAGGAGTTCGACGTTTCGCGTTCGAGGAACCAGTATGTGGCTTGAACGCAGCAGCTAGGTTAGATATTTATGACTCATTTTTTGAGAAGTTTTTTTTTATTCCACCTGTTTCTACAATGTTAGTATTTGCCAGCGCCAGTTGTGTCTACTAGCAGAGCGGGCGTGGAATATTGCCCGAGACTCGTGCTTTAGCTGTCACATGATTCTGTTTGGTGAACATTCTTATCCCTTGTGATAGCGACGACCCTCTTTGTAATGTTGCGAAACAAGTGTTTGGATCAAAGGGAGTGCTTCCTGGCTATATTCATTCAGAAGGAGTTACAGCAATGGCTAGAAACGTAATATTTGCGTATGTTTTAGGTAGGCAGCTCACTATCTCTTTCTGGAATCTGTTTTCTTTTAAATAGTGCGTTTGTTGTGAAGATTTGATTGTTATATTTGGTAGCCGCACATAGCCGTTCTCTTGGCCCAGTGCTCATTTGAAGGCCTTTTCGATTTGACTGCGGTGCTGCTTAGCGCCTCAGAAAAGAGTTTCATGGCGCCAGTCACGTTACCTTGATCCTTGCTTTGGTATGGAAGTGGCGTTGACTACCTCACCGGGTAATTGGGTATTATACCGGAATCAATCGTTATTCGTGTGAAATGCAATTCGTATTCGATCTAGCTGATCATTTGACAGATTTCTGCCGAATGCCGCGTCATGCGCCATCAAATTAAAGAATTCGTATTGAGGTTTGTAAAGGACAAATACCTTATAATTTGTGCACATATCAATACCCACGATGTCGGCCTTTTAACAAGAAATGCTCTTGCGTCACGTGTCTGCCGCGCGATGGGCCTTCTAGCTGACAGCCGCTGACGGATAATGGGTCTCATGAATCACCGTATAATCGCGTTCATCTCTCAGTTGTACCCTAGGCATGATGACGAAAGGTGTTCAATAACAAAGCGTGGTTATTGAACCTCAGAAACAGAATTATGCATTCAAGAGAAAGGTTCGAAATGTTGCAGATACCTTGTGGTGTCACTATCCACACGATTGGTTGTTCACGATGTTGTCACACTCACGGAAGTACGCTCGATTCGAGTCGTCCAGCCGCCGGAATCTTGCGCTCCAGCCATTGCACTCAATCAGCAATTCATTGCCTATGCGGATTTCAAGGTGGGTAATTGAGCTGAAGAGTGGTTGGTCTTGAGTTCCGAAGGAATGGGTTAGACTTGAACTCAGCCATTCTTGATATTCTCGGGGTGGATAATGTTGTTGATGTTGTGAGCCTTTTGTTGATTACTGGTAATGATATTTTTGATAAATTACTGTCGATTGATAAAATATTACTTTTACCCTTGTAAGTCTAAGTTACTTACTCGTATGATGCACAAGCTTCATTTACAGTGCATGACGAAATTAGGAGTGGGGTTTTTTTTGTAGAGCGAGAGCGCGTGAAGCGAGGTATATCTTATGATTTGGCGCGAAGTTGCACCTCGTAAATCGTAAGTCAATGTTTCGTGGAAACACGGGAAGAGGATTTTCCATGAGGTTGGAACAATTAATCAAAATTCATGAAGGTCTTTAGAATTTTTGCAATTTTTGGCGTTGCTGCCATTACAAGTAGCGGTCCATTTGATCCCCGCTCGGTGGCACAGACCCATCAAGAATCGGAAATTGTGGAAGAGGGAGAGAGGTGGATGGTGACTCTGAAATTGACACACGCACCCATGGTCGAACCTATAAGTGATAGTCAGAAATAATGCAAAGCAAGCTTAACTGCTGATTTCAGCCTAATCCTGATATGCAGAGTTGTGGAGGAATGTGTGCGGATGTGGACGATATGCCGGCGACCTATGCGAATCAAGTGTTCATTGTTGCAAAGGTGTGTGAAATTCAAAATATCGAATTAATTCTTTATGTATTGAAATCTCATTAATGCTTTATTGTGGCTTGTCGATCATGATGACAAATCACATACACTGCTTTGCATAAATATAAATCCACCTGGATTTTTCGTGAAAAATCGCCTATCAGGATGTTTCCGAAAAAAGTTCAGAGAGAGAAATGTGCTCATCATAGATAGGATTTTGGGTATCAAAACCCACTTGCATTTCGAAAACGCAAAAAATTTTATCTTTATTTTCTCGAAAAGGGTTCACTTCGCCGATTTTGCAAAAATATAAATCCACTTCACAAAACGTGCTAAATAACAACGGAAAAACAACAAAAACAAGACTTCTTCTAGTTAGTAATCTATTGGACCCCCATTTCTCCGAATAACTTGGAAAATGCGATTGTCCATGCTTCTGTAGAGGTTTCCGATAAATTCCTCATTGACTTGGTGCCATGCTTCTATTATTGCACTTTTGAGCTCCCTTACGTTTTGAAATTGGGCATTATTGGCATAAATTCGTCGAACCATAAAGCCCCAAACGTTTTCCATGGGATTCAGGTCGGGGCTGTTAGCCGGCCAAGGGAGAAGTGGGACATGGTGACGACTGAACCACGTCCGAGTGCTTTGGCTGACGTGTATCGGTGCGTTGTCTTGCATAAAGAGAAATCGGAATTCCGATTTTCGCCAGAAGGGAAGAAGACCGTGCCGCAAGACAATTTTGTAACCGGATGAGTTCATCTTTTTCGGAACAAAGCACAATTTTAGACGTCGTGTCGATGTGATTGCAGCCCAGACCATAACACCGCCCCCTTTGAAATTCCTCCTTGAAAATGGAGCTTCTCCTTCCTGAGATCGTGCCAATAGTACCGGTTTCCGTCGGGGCCATCGCAGTTAAATTTCTTTTCATCGCAGAACACAACCTAAAGAACAAAAATTCAGAAATGTAGAAGAATGAAGGCTGAAGTGCTACCCGCCACCTTGCTCCAGTCTGTCCGGCTGAATCTTTTAGCAAAAGCGACTCGATTCTCACAATGGCGTCTGGTCATGAATGGCGCCTTTCGCATTTTCTGTCGGACGATGAATTTAGACTTCTTTAGTACACGCCAGACAGTCCACATTGAAACGAAGCTTCAAGGAGGATCTGATTTGCGCGCAAGACTTGGTTGTGTTGGAGACTTCTCGTAGAATCCGGCGCTTGTCCCTGTCGGATAACAGAGGGGGACGTCCGGGTTGCTTCTTAGTTCCATATTCTGAAGGCCTCTTCACAAAGCTGTTGACAACGCCATGACTCCGGCCCAAATTTCGTGCAATTTGGCGGTTCGACCATCCTTGCTCCTTTCTAGCGGCGATTTGCCCTTTTTCGAATTCCGACAGAGGTTCTCCTCTTGGCATGACCTAGAAAAAAGACAACGTAATAGAAGTGAAGCGGACTCATGTAATAGAAAAGGCATCCAGCGAGTAAAAGTGTGGTGGATTTATATTTTTGCAAAATCGGCAAAGAGGCTTTTTTCAAAAAATAAGGCAAAAAAACTCACGTATTCTCGAGACGGGAGTTGATGTCGATACACGAGATGCTATCCAAGTCTGGTACATTCTCCCTGCGGGGGCTTTTCAGAAACGTAATATCATGCAAATTTTCAGGATTTTTCTAGGTGGATTTATATTTATGGCAAAGCAGTATGATTTAATTAATGTTAGCTCCTTTTGTTGCCTCAGTGCTGCAGTGGAGGGCATTTTTTGCATAGCAGCTTCGTCTGGTTTCGCAACTTTTTCGCTGGTTTGGTGTCCCGTTATTGATCCATTTGTGTCCTGGAAAGATGTTGGCTTTGGTGCAAATTGTTGGGAATGTCATTTCAGCAGTTGCAAGAAAAAGTGCAAAATGGATCAGAAGTTCAGTTTCGGTGCAAAATTAGGGCGTTGACTGCAATTTTGTTGAGGTTTTCTTGTTAACTGGGCTGCAATAATCTTGCATTTTCGAAATTATAGCCTAATTCGGTGGTTTCTAACTGAAAGCGTCGAAGGTTATTCGTGAATTTTGGTATGTTGGAGCTTTACCATCCAGCAACTACGCTTTCAGGCCCTTTCTCGTACGGTAACATCATCGGTGACTGGTGGAAGTGGAACGAAAGCTGGTGAAGTTCCCATGGGAATCGTCACAGTGGTGGGATCTGGAATAGAAGTTGAAGATTGGGTTGTTTATTTTTTGTATTTACGATCTGTTCAAGCTAATGTTTTTAGAACTCTGAGGCGATGGCTGTTATGCGCACTTGCTGCCCATAATGAGCCCCTGGCTACCATGGCATGGTCACCGGATGGACGTTTGCTGCTGACGACGGATACGTCGGCATGCGTCTTCAATGTCTTCTCGATACTAACTCATCCCTTTACTCCGCTGTTATCGGCTGTACAACACTTGTATCGGCTACGTCGAGGAACGACAGTTGCCAAGGTTTGTCCTGAAGATTTTCAGGATTAGTTTTTGTCGTCTTTGGCTCTGGCTAAGAATTAGCTCCTTTTCTAAGACTATGGGTCTAATTTTAGTTCCATGCTTGAATTTCTTTGCAGTGGTGTCCCTGTGCGTTTTCGTTGGACTGCCGTTGGGTGTCAATTTGCACGAACCATGGCACTTGTCACGTTTTCGCAATAAGCCCGTATGGTGGAAAGCCATCACGACGAACTCATGGCGAGCATTTCACGAACAAGTACGCTTTTTTAGCCTTACGTTGTGTTATATGTAACATTGCTATGTTTGTCTTGAATAAATTTTCTTCATTTCTTCGTGACATCTTCGCCTACAAAAACAGTTTAGCATCTTCGCATCAATTCCAGTCCTTGTGTTGATCTAAAGAAATAACATCTGCCCACACCTTCGAAAATTTATTCAGTCGAACTCCACCATTCAATTTCGTAACAACTATACAATTTATTCTGCTGGATTGGGTTGATCTCCCTTATTTCTGAATCATAATATATTTCAAGCTCATGGCATACATTTGTGCTGTTTTTCTGATTTGATTGCAAGCTTTCGTGGTACTGCAAAGTGTATTCAGGGAATCGCGCTTCCTCCGTTCAGCCGGTCTGGCCAGTGGTGTAGAGGCGCAGGCCGTATTGCCGCCACGAACAAGGAGCCAGAGCGGGGCTACTCCTTTGTCTCGGTGAGTGCTTTCAAGCTTTTTTGGTTAGTTGACTTTTACTTTGGGCCTTTGCTTTGTGTACATTGTCGAAATGTCACATTAGTAAAATGTGTAGAAAAGTTGTCTTCAAGCAATATCCCACGTATCCTAGAAGGCGTTTGTCCCTTCCTTTTCCGTGGAATCATTGCGCGTATCAGTTTGAGAAGGTTGAGAAAGTGGAAGCTTTCATTAATAGAGTTTGTCTTAGGAGGAAATGCGAATAGTTTTGAATTGCTTTTCTGTATATCCGCTAATACTTCCTCATTCTTTTCATGGTACATTTCCCTATGGATTTTGAGGGTTTTTCCTCTCACTTTTATTGCATGCATCGCTGGTTGAATTGTTTCTGTTTTATTGTTTTATGTGTTTTAGTGAACATCCGTGCATGTGGAATCGCACAATGGCTCGGTCAACGGCAAATCCGCGCATTGGTCCGTACCCGCCACCGGTTATGCTATATTCGGTGAAAAAGATCAGAGTGCGTTTACTTGATAGACATTGTCATCCTGTACAGTTGACTATGAATTTCTTTAATTACATGGCAATATATTGTAGCTTCACTAAAGGTGCCCTTATTTCAGCCCCAAATGAGCGCCTCGAGTCTACTCGCCCTTGGTAAGGACTTAGCTCCGTTGGCCTTGACGGCGGTTGGTTCTGGCAGCGGCTCGAAACGACGTGCTAGTGTGGACTTGTCGCGCATCTCATTGGCGTTCGCCAGTCGCACAATGGCATCTGCCCGCTCGCCGTCGCTTCTCATCGCAAGCGCTGATGGAGGCATAGTATGTGAGTATGAGCTGAATCCTCGAGTGCAAGCTTCGATGAGCGCTGAAGATCCGCCTCAGCTTGATGTTTCACCAACGTCGATGTGGACTCTACAGAGGTGAGCTGTTAATGATTTACGGGAGTTCTTGTCATCAGAATTGAGAGGTTTTTGTTTTTGTTGTCTTTTCAAGTAAGAAAGTAGTTTGATCTGAACAATTGACTGTAGGAGGCAAAATTCCCAACCATTCTATGGACTCGGAAGCCCGAAAGAACACGCGCTGGTCTCTGAAAGACGCTGATGACCACGGATGGTTACTCTGGTAATCGGGCACAAACCATTTAAGACTTTCATCTCTCGCCGCTATGAATGTTCTTGCTCGGACCTGGCTCGGCAGAAAAATCAGTAGCCAGAAGAATTTGAGGCCCCGACTCAGAAGCCAAGCATGCAAATGTCAACCTTGTCGTGAAGCTAGAATGAATCTTGGCGAGAGAATGCGAATCATCAACGCCAAGCACTGTCATTTTTCAAGTTATCCGACGCTGAGCCAATGCGCATTAATGTTCCCATTCGAGAAAAAAGGTTCCGTGTTGCTGGGTAGTTGCGGTTACCGAGTTTGGGCTCGAAATTCATAGAATCGCCTTTTTCGTGATTTCATGAGAAGTCTGTACTTATTATCTGCCCCAGAGTGCTACCTATCCATGTACGGCGAATTCTGATCCAACAGTGCAAGAGTGTAAAAGAAAGCAGGGCTAGCAGTGAATTATCGCCGAACGAAGCGAAATGAGCGCAAAAAATTGTCAGTCTGTGTGTCGAGATTGTCGATATAAGACTAAGTTGAATTAGATTCGATATCACGAGCTCCTCTAGAAGACGTTCAGATAACAAAAATAGAGAGATTAAAACGGTGAAGATAGAATATATCACAGCGTGGTTGATGTGCCGTTGCCACTATCACTCCATTGACACGCACGTCGTTAGTCACGATCAAGCGGTGGATTAACGTTAGCTGTCAGACTGACGTCTTACTTCGTCGTAAAATGGCAGCGCTGAGAGGCGGGCGGGGGGGAAATAGAGGCAAAAATTAAATGAAAACCGAATGCAATTATTTTCATTATATTAATCAAGTCAACCTAACGTTATGCAAATAGCAAAATAAAAGACAAAATAAACACTGTCTTTACTATTATGGGAAAGCTCGAGTATCACTTTGCAAGAGCGAGAATATGGAGTATCTTTATGAATATCGTGCTGTCTCTATTATAATGCTTCTTAATTTTTCAGGACGAAGAACAATCCGGATATGCCACCACCGTTGCAGCAAGGTAGTCCACTGCTGGCATGGATTACTGCCTGACAAAAACGCGTTTCTCGGAGTATCTCGTGAGACTGAACACTTGGATTACCGCGAAGTAGAGGTTGAATATGATGGTTCTATTGTTGAACGCGGCTGCCGCAGTCATTTGGATTGTGTATGCCTTTGATGAAAATGAGAGCAGCAGAGTGCACCGCTATGGCAGAAATAAGGAAACTCAGAAACGGTTAAAATGCAAATTTCCCTGGGATTTGTAGGGTGACGAAGAGGGCACTGAGTCGAAGCAAGAAAACAGGCGTAATAGGCAGAGTGTACAGCGGAGACCTAGACTACGCGGCGTGGAGATTAGGCTGCATTTCAGTCAACAGTCTAGGCTCTTTTTAGCTTCAGTAACAAGGCTAGCGCTCTTGTCATGTTTTTGTACCGTGAAGGCGGCACGCTTCCCACAACTACTCTCATATCCTTAAGTTCCATCTAGATTCAGCACGAAAATTTATGCTTTTATATTTTACCACTTACTCTCACATAACAGAACCATACCGATCGGTCGACGGGCATTCTGTTTTTATGGGCTATTCTCAAAAAAACTTTTTTCTTTGATAAATCGACTTTCCGGAATACTTCTATATCAGTAGGTGGGTAGTTGCTAGATGAAAGTCTCTAAATGAGGACGGATTCTATTTAGAAGTTACCCAAGCGTGAAACTTTTTGTGAACGGTTTCTGTATATTAAAAGCACTTGCATGGAAACTAGAAAGTAGGTCTGTTTCTTTTGAGCGGCTCTGGAAGTGCTAAAAATAATGGCAGTGGTTTGTGGTTCGGTCCTCACTGAAGACAAGTTTTTGCATTTGTCTAAATTCCATTCCTTGTGCTTATTATCTAAACTCTTTCAGTGAACAAAAAAACTGATACTGATATGCCAAATTCGAATAGAACTTTCCTTTTCTATGGGAAACTTCTCACTTTTTTTCTGGAAATTGCAAAACCGCTTAACAAAAATGATCCTATGCTTATGCTCCACGCCCTGTTATGATATACAAAACACCGTTCCGAAAAGCGCTCCACGTCCTGAACGACTTTCCTCGGTAACTTCATAGTGTGATGGGTAACATAGCGGAAAAATATTTAGTCATTGAAACCATCGAGAACATCTCAGACCACTGCCAAATTTTTTCTCCAATAATGATTTTACCAACTAAATTGGTGCCGAATGCAATTTTCCAAAATATGACAAGGGTCGCAGTTCTCCTTCGTTATCGTTCATGTCTATCGCCTTACCGTTTTTTGTTTGGTGGAAATGCCAGCAACGCACTCACAGTTTAGCTCTTAAGGTCGTTTCGATTATGATCAAGGTATGATAGAGATGGGAACCTTGTTTGGCTTCTTGGAGACCTTCGTAGGACTAATCATCAGACTCCTACTCCATTATGTTCCTTTTGACTTTTGCGAAACTGTGCACTTCTTGTGCTGAGCTGAGTCCGACCAGCGAGATATTGATCGCCTTAAAAACGGACAAAAGATTAATTAAATACGGTTCTCGAACAATTTCTATGATCTTTACAGGTCTGCACCTATTCGGGCCCGCATCGACGGTTATGGATGGGTCCTCAATTCAAGTTCTTCGAGTACCGTGAGGAGAACACCAGTGCTGAATTGGTTAGTGAAAAATTTTCAGGATTTTGTCATTATACGATTTTATGATTTAATGTGTTCCAGATGACGCCTTCAGAGTCAAGGCACTCTTTGTCGTCCATAAAATCGATTCCTGTGGTGATAGGAGGTTAGTTGTTTCTAGGTAGCCTCCTTGTGTTTGAGTACGTGTCAGACTTCAACCGCTAAACCGCGCAGGTGCATCGCTCGGATTATCCGAGTGGCTAGCGATTGATCACAAAGTCTGGCACCTGCCTTAAAGGCGCATTCCATGGTTGCCGTGGTAAGCTTACTGCGCTGAATAGTGGGACATTAGGTGCTATGAGAGGTATTAGTGGGAAAAAAGCGAAGAAACCAACTTGCAAGATAAGGTGTTTTGGGGCGGTGGAGGAATCTGATAATGAAGAGACACTGGGCGCCGAGGCGAGGGATCGGGCGCAGAAGCGAGGGAGCGGGCGCAGCGCGAGGAGAAGCATAGCGGAGGGAGCGCGAGAGCACAGACGCTAGGCGCTTCGCGAACTGCTGGACTGCCCTCCGATTGCCAATTCGATGCGCGCGCGAGCAATTAGCTGTTTTTTCTAAATGGGCAGATCGTTCAGAAAAGTGTCATATATGCATTAAACTGCTCGTTTACTATCTAACATCTACGTTGTCGTTGTAGGTGCTGGTAGTAGCTGTGCAAATAGTGAAGCTACGCGTATCGAGTGCGGGGTCGTGGGCAAGTGAAGTCTCGATGGCAATGGGTGATGCAGTGAATGCGAGCGGCAGCGCGACATCAGTGGTCAGATTGCTGATGCAATGCGCGATCTTGAACTGGAGGATCAGGTGAGTGTACATGCTTGTTTGATCCTTACGATACGGAAGCAGTTTCGATTAATATCTGAATCACGGCAAAAATCCTTTCAAATCTCAGAAGGCATGGATGGCCTGAAAAGGGTGATATGTGGAAATCTGATGGGATCATGGTAGTGGTGTGGGGTCGAGAGCAGATGTGTCTCAGGGCTGGTTGGAAGTTAGCGGTCGTAGAAGTCAAGAAGAAAGCAGTACAGAAATGGTTAAAAAACAGAAAATTTTGGCTTTTCAAACACTATTCATTCCTGTTCACCCCGGCACGGCAGTATTGGTCGGAAAGTGGCGTAGGGCAAGTGGCACGCACTACCACGCTAGCGGACGACTAAGAATCACTATCGTGAGTTCGCCCGGGGCACAAGCCTTCCTATCCCTCCGGGGTCGGTTAATTGGTACCAGACTTGTCTGGGAGGATAAAAAAAAAACACTGACTTGAACATCGGCTGGCCCCCGCAAGTCATTGTATAGGCCACATCGCATTCAAACGCCACTGCGAATGTACAAATGGAAGTAGAATGCGTGCCGCATCCCAAAAAGGGATTGATCAACGGCAAATGCTTTATCCTTTATCCTTTTATCTCCGGTCACGCTTGACGGCCATTGACGGAAATGGCAGTGTTGGAGCGTGTTCAAAGATGGATCCCAAAATGTATAGAGAATGCGCTATGTTGTGAGCGTAAGCGAGACGGGGGGGGGCGAGTTACGGAAACCCCTTCAAGTTGAGGTGTGACTGATCGTGGAGCGGTTGGCGAGTGTACGAGAATGGCGCATTCTTTAGAGTGAGCAAGATTGTCATAGTGGGAAGGGGGTTGAAAGCGAGTGCCAATATTCAGACGGGGTTTTGGAAGGACTAGGTAAAGTAGGAGAGTTAGCGTGATCTTAGGACAAATCCGAATCAAATACTGTAGAACCGGCCATGATGGCAAGGGAGAGGGGAGGTTGCATTGGGGGAGCCTCACAAGACAGATGGTTGTGGTGGGGAATCACATCGAGTCTATTTGAGGAGGGGGGGGTCGCAAAGTTTTGAAAATGGTGGGTACGTGACGGTTGTCCCTGGTTGGCGGTCTGAAGGACAACTCTTCAATCATGTTTAGTCATTTGTGAATGACAATCTGGACGAAACATAATGCCATTAGTAAATGAACGAGCCCAAGGCGTGGAAGACTTACCATTAGTTGACTTGGGCGAGAGTTGATCCGAGATTTGGCCCCGGACCGTACCTTTGGGAAATGGCGTCTTTTGCACTGAATCACCTCTGCCTGAGTGCTTATTAGCGGTTTTTATATTTGTATTTCTAATCGTAATCAAACTGCCTCCTACATGACGTGATTGATTCTAATAGTGCGTATTTCTAGCCACCAGCTTCTGAAGTATTCTTCGACACCTCTCCTGGTATTGGACGAAAAGCAACAAAAGCGAAGGCTGTCATGGATGAGGAAGATCTGGATTTTGATGACTTCAGATGAACGAAACAGGGTTTTCGATTGTACCAGTAACCATTTGGCCATTTCTCTTGGCTTTCTTTCACAACACATCTCTAGCAGCAGCCGACAGGCCAAGCAGGGTTAGCGTTGCCGCCCAATCTTTACGCCAGTTTCTTCTGTGAGGAACATAATACTGATAGTCATCTGACAGCACCCGTCTACCGACAGTGCACCTTTCTCATGCTAGTTTAGAGTTTCCAAACGATCATGTGTCTTCATGTACTTGTAAATAAGCAGCACTCGGCACTAATTATCTCGCGGCATTTTTTTTGAACTTCTTTTTTTGGTATTTCTCTTCTCATTTTTCAGTCTTATAAGTTTTCCAATGATATTTTATAGGCTGATCATCCTTTTTTCGACTTTATGTAACATTTTTTTCCGTTTGGTGTTGATTTCATATAACTGTGTACATAGTTGTATAGAACAGCGTTTTAGAAAGTTGTCTTAGGTACTGCTTGCTTCGCACGTTTCCTCTTCTAGCGGCTATTCAGTACCTTTCTGAGTTCCAGGTCGTATGAACCCTTTCTACACTAAGAAACGGTGATATTTCAATCGTTAGCGTCGGAGAGGTTCCATAATATCCATTGTTCAGAATTGAACCCCGTAGTCAAGAACATCCGCAGCTGCTATCACCGTCATCAACCGTAGAAAGGGTTACACGGGCATTTCAGGGGCCGTAAGGTATGCTTCCCCGAACAAGAGAGAGACCCCTCCCTGGTAAGATATGCTCTCCCCGAAAACTCGGGGAAAGGCCACGCCCACCGGTTCTCGGGGATATCTCCCGATTGACATGCAATCGGGGAGATATCCCCGTGATTGACATGCAGGCTGTCAATATCTCCCGAGAGTTCGTATAACTTCGTATAATGTATGCTATACGAAGTTATTACGTTTCTATTGTTGGTTCACAATTTAACTTTCCCCCAATTTTTATACTTTCTTCTGAAAATTCCTGGGTCCAGTGTGCAAATTCGCATGTGTGTACCAAATGCATCAAAATTCTTGCTGAGAGCTGTAACCTCCGCCCACCAAACCAACATTGCATTTGTTGGAGGGAATA